CTGTGTAGCCCTGGCGGATTAGGGCGAATGGGATCAGCCCCCTGATAGGGTCCCTTAAGAAGGAACTTTGAGGTCGGTGGGGAGTACAGACAGCCAATACAAAAATTAAAATTATATGGCTACTTCTTATAAGTGAACCAAGAGACAATATGAGACTTCTGAAAGCGAAAATGAAATAAAAAAAAAAAAAACAATTTCCAACTTTCGTTGTTGTAGAATCAGTAGAGGGTGATATATCAAAAGTATCTCCTTTCGTATTGCAAAGGGCTATTTCGGACATGATCAAACCACAATCTGTTAAAAAAATAAAGAAAAATAATACTGTATTAATTCAAGTGATATCCAAAAAAGATGCAGAAAAATTGCTAAAAATGAAGCAAATTGAGAACAATAAAGTTAAGGCCTACTCCCATCAATTCTTTAATTCATCAAAAGGAGTAATAAAATGCCCAGAACTGTCACTTTGTTCATCAGAAGAAACTGAAAATGACGACACCCTAAAAAAGCAAGGAGTAACAGAGGTAAAAAGAATGCAAGTAAAAAGAAAATGACACAGTAATAAACGCCAACACATACATTTTGACATTTGACAAACCAACTCTACCAAAAGAAATAAAGATAGATTACACAATAGCCAAGGTAGAGCCATACATTCCTAACCCCTGTAGATGTCATAAATGTCAAAAATTTGGTCATCTTCAAAATGTTTGTACGAGAACATCAGTCTGTCGAAGATGTGGGGAACCGGAAACTGAGCATGATGAATCACCTTGTGAAAGGCCTCCTTTATGTCCAAACTGTAAAGAAAAACATTCAGCAGACTCCAAAGAATGTAACATTTGGAAAAATGAAAAGGAAATAATTAGAAGAAAATACATACAAAATATCTCATTCCAAGAAGCCAGGAAACAGATTGAATTTAATTAATTTTAAGCATCATATACAAATATCACTAAAATATCAAATCAACAAAAAGTCATCCAAGAAAACAATGCATTAAGAAGCCAAGATCTTATAACTCTTATTAATGAATTAAAAAGTTTAGTAGAACTACTAAAATGTAGTATATCACTTGTAAATCAAACAGCCATAGACAAAAAAAAAATCCTGTCCCATCAACCTCGAACAAAAAAGTCTCTACATGTACAAAACAATTAAATCTGAAAATTCCAAACCAAAGTACAAAACTCCAAGAAATAGAAACCTCTAAATATTTTCAAGAGAATCAAAAGGTACAAAATAAAAAATAACTCAACTTTTAGTGAAGAATCAAGAGAAATGGACATAGAGGAACAAAACTTTATCCTATTACAAACAAGGGAACGGTCATCATCTATACAAAGATCATTAAAAAAGAACCTAATGGGAAAACAAACCCTATATTGTCAACCGGAAACAAAAATGACTCTACATCTGCAAAACTATTAAACCTGAAAAATCAAAACGAAAAAAATAAAATCCAAGAAATAGAAATATTGAAACATTCTCAAGAGAATGAAAAGATACAAAAAAAAAAATAACGAAATGGTTATTGAAGAACCAAGGAAAATGGACATAGAGGAACAAATCTCTAGCCCATCACAAACAAGGATAAGATCATCATTTAGACAAAGTTCATTAAAAGAACCGAATGGTAAAACTAAGGGAGCAAAATCAAACAAAGTAGAAATGAAAGAAGTTCAAAGAACAAAACATAACAAGAAACAAAACGCTATTAGTCTGAAGTATATAGAAATGATGGACACTTCACCAATATTAAAAAAAAAAAAATTTGGACATATAAAAATTTATAATTCATAATACATAGTCAAGATGCAAAACCTTATTTAATGGAATTGTAACTGGGGTCAAAACACTATGAAAGTGTAAAAATAGGTTTTAATACCAGAAATACTTTGTAAAAAAAATATTGCCAGCAATGCATTTTTGAAAACCAAATATTACCAGCAATATATTTTGGGGAAAAAGAAAAATATATATTACCAGCTATACATTTTTTGAAAAAAAGAAAAATATTACCAGCAATACATATTTGAAAGAAAATTATTAGCAGAAATGGAATTTTTGAAGGAAAAATATTACCAGAAATAGATTTAAAATAAAAAATATTACCAACAATAAAAATTTTGTCGGCATTAAATAACCCATTGAGGTTGATATCCCATAAAACCAAAACATGCTGGTAACCACTATGCTACCTGCCATCCATGAATTCACTATTCTAGTGAATTACTTTGAGAGATAAGCATAATAAGAATTAACACCAGTGAACAGATACTACACTGATGTAAATATATGTAAACTGTTTCTTTTCTGAAAATAAAAAATCTCCTACAAGTTAGAATATATTCATGAATTTTTTTCATGAGTAATAATTAGTTATATCATAGCTTGCATAAGTATTCACTCCACCCCCCTCAAATTTTTCTACATTTTTTACTGTTACCAACAGGAATTTAAATTGATTTAAATTTTTTTTTACCATTTGATTAATGCAAAATACAATTTGTGATACAAACAGTAATTAGGACAACAAAGCGAGAGATTCATCTTTTGGATATATGTAAAGTATTCATAAGAGGCACAATAACTTGTAGAACCACCTTTTGGTTGCATTTATAGCAACAAGATTTTTTTGAATTTTTTTGGGAGGGTATATCAAATTGAAATTGAGACCATCTGTGAACGGTAATTTTCAAGTCTTGCCACAGATCCTCATATGGATTTAGGTCTGGGTTTTGACTGGACCATTCTAACTCATTAATATTCTTTGACTTAAACTATTCTCTTCTAACTCCAGCTATGTATTTAGGGATGTTGTCCTGCTGGAAGTTGAACTTCCACAGCAGTCTTAAGTCTTTTGCAGACTGTAAGTGGTTTACTTTGATTGTATTTGGCTCCATCCATTTTCCCATCATTGCTGTTTAGCTTCCCTGTCACTGATGAAGAAAAGCATCCCCTATAGTCATCACCATATTTTACAGTGCTGTGATGGTATGGTTGGAGTGTCAGGTTTCTGTCGCATGTAGCATTAGCCAAAAGATTCAAGGGTACCGTTTTCCACATGTTTGCTGTCTTCCACATGGCCTTGTGGCAAACTGCAGACATGACTTAATAGCTTTTTCTTTCAACAAAGCTTTTCTTCTTGCAAGTCTTACATAAGATACAGATTTGAGGAAATAGTTTTGTGAACAGATTCTCCCAATTGAGCTATGGATCTTTGCTGCCCCCTCCAGAATTACCAGGGGCTTCCATCCTGGTTGTTTCTCTGATTAAGGCTCTCCTTGCCCGGTCTGTCATTTTCAATGGATGATCTTGTCTTGGTAGGTTTGTTTGGTTTATGGCATATCAACCTCAATGGGCCATTTAATGCCAACAACTTTTTTTTTTCCTGATAATATTTTTGCTTTGTCAAAAATCCATTTCTGTCAATATTTTTTCCTCAAAAGTGTATAGCTGGTAATATTATTTTTCCAAAAACGTATAGCTGCCAACGTTATTTTTTCAAAAACATATTATCAGAGGCCTTGCTGTTGGATGTAGTTTATCGTCATACCCAGGACGTGGATATAGTCTGAGTGTTAACTATTTGCTCATAGCTAGGAACCTAACAGGTGCTACCACCCCAGGTCAGGGTGGACCTGGGAACACCAGCAATTAAGAGGTGGTTCCATGCTCCTTACAACCTCCTGATCAGAGGCCTTGCTGCTGGACGTAGTTTATTGTCTTACCCAGGACATGGATGTAGTTTATTGTCATGCCCAGGACATGGTAGGTTTGTGGTTGTTCCATTTTCAGATGATGGATTTAATAGTGCTCTTGGAGAGTTTGAAAACATGCGATTCTCTCTTTCTCATTTTACTCCATCTCTCCAGAATTTTGAAGTATCACAATTATTATTCCTTTCCATCCTTCACTTGACTTTCATTCTTTTCTTTGTTGTCTCTTCATATCCAATCACTAAAGCTTCTGCTTTTCTTTTATATCTACCCTCCCCCCCCCCAAATTTATCTATCTTCCTGATTCTCTTTCATTTTATTTCTAGCTTTGAACCTTCTGTCTTTTCTCTTGGTTTCCGTCATCTTTCTCAATTCCTTCCTCCTTCATAATGTTGGCTTCTTGGTCAGAAACTACTCACATCCACATCATGTTCATACACAAGCAATATCAAGCCTGATCAGTATCTAGATGGGTGACCGTTTGGGTATACCAGGTGCTGTAAACTTGGATGTGCAGGTGGTGTAATTGATAATAGCTTGGAATTGCTAATCTGTTTCATTAGATTCACTTATGTGCAAATAGCCTTTGGGAAAGGTGTGAATTCAACTCTTCTCCCCCCCCCCAGCTAAAGGTTAATTAGTAGAATTTGTGCCACTAAACCATTATTATTTAAAAACAAAAAAATTCTTACAATCTAAAGATGTTTTCTGTTTAAATAGCCTGCAAAGGGTTGATAAGCCATAAAAAAATGAATCATTCAGTTAGAAATTGTGATTCCAGCTTAGAATGGGCAGGGGTTTGTTCTAGGTATAAAATTGTAAGGGTCATACATACAGACAAGGGGAACAAATAGTATAGATTTTATTAAGACTTTGAGTTAAACGCCATGGAGAAAATGGTGACTTATCTTGTTGATCAAAATGTACGTGTTACATGTGTCTATTGCAAAAGATGTTTCGCTCAGATGAGGTCAGTAGGCATGCAAATTTATCTTTGCTCTTACTCATTTATAATCACCACAGGGTCTAGTAGGTTGCTTTAAAGACTTCTGTCAACTAGGTGTTGTGATTTTTGTGGCGACTGATAGAGTTGTAGCTTTATGACACTTTATTTTCTACATACTTTTACAATTTGCTAAAAATACAGTAAATTCTCTAGCGAAGAGGTGAATAAACATCATTTATTAATTCTATATGCTTTCTTGTAGTTATTTTTCCCTTTCTTTTGTTTTTGGTTCAAATAAATTGTTTTAATTTATATACCTTTTTATTTTGTTACAGTCAATTCTTGGTGCTAAAGGACCAATCCGACATACTCCTAACCCTATGGCCATCCAAAGATTGAATCCTCCTGCTATGAAGTCACACATTCTACCAAATAAAAGACAGCAACTCTCCGAAAATGGCCAAAACTTATTTTCCCAGTTGCAGGTAAATGATAGCCATTTTGGAATATTTTTAGTCAATGATTGGCTTTTGTTGAAACCTTCGAAACCAGTGTTTCAACTTTTTTAAGCAACGGCACACCTAGGAGGAAATGAAAATATCACTGACAACTTAACAAAATTTGTGAAGTGTATAACATTTAAATGTTATGAAATAAAACCATAGATTTTTTAAAAAATACACACATAAACATGAACTTGCTTTATTTCAATGTTTCTATTCAATTATTTGTGCAGCTTATTTAATATGAAACCTGTGCCTGGTGTTTTTTCACGATTTCTTCAATGTTTGACTGAATGTACGATAAGCAGACCCTCATTTCTTCTTCAGTTGAGTGTAGTCTTTCTCTTTTTTGATGTTATTTAGGGTTGAGAAGCCTAATTCACATAAATAAGTAGAAAATTGCAATAAAACTGATAAAGACTTTTTAGCTAATACAAGATATTCCTTTTGTATTGAAATCCAAAATGTATCAATGGGTGCCATTGAATGTTATATTTTGAGTCCTTAAAAAATAAAAAATACTTTTTAAAAAATTAATATTAAAACAAAGTATTTAAAATAGCATAATCAAAGAATATTGAAAAGAATTATTTGAAAAAAATGTTTAATACTTATTTATTCAGATACTAACATTGTATTATTACTACTTCCACACACATGCACACGTATGCTGTGACAATTTTTTTGTGGCATACCTAAGAGGATCTAGTGTACCGTTGCATGGTGGACGAGAATCACTGTTCTAAACCAATAAACCTTTACCGGTTAATGGCACAAACTGTAACACTCCTTAGTTGATGTGTAAAATTATGACATGTAATATAAATGCAATTCAGCCTATTAATTCCACTGAAAGTGGATGTGCGGGTGTGCAAGTGGTGCAGATGTGCAAGTGGTGCAGATAGCAGAGTTCTAGTTGGATTCCTTACATTCCCCTACATGTAAATATCCTTGCAAAAAGTATGAATCTACTCCTCAACTTTATTAGCAAAAAATTATTAACAAAAAAATTGTTAATGTTAATATTTACTTGCAAAAGAAAAGAATTATTCTTAGAATCTTTGAAAATAAAAAAAAAAGAAGATTTTTCAGCTTTTATTAGCCCACAAAGTGTTGATAAGCCATAAAAAACAAATCTGTCAATCAACAAAGACACTGAAGACATGCTTAGAATCAGAAGAATTATTAACTGAAAAGAAAAGCTCTTTAGAAAAGAAATAAAAAAAAAAAAACAAAGATATTCCAAAGTGAAACTCAGTGGCCATCAAATAGAACAAATTAATAAAACTATGTTAAAAAATTGTATTGGGTTAGAATTTCTATGACCTCAGCATTAAATGAGAAAATGGATTTCAAGACTTTTTTTTTCTTAAATGTTCACTCAATGTAATTCCCAAGAGCCACTCAACGTAGAGTATTGCTGAATGAGCTTGTTTTATGGAGGTAAGAGGAATAAATTAAGGCAGAGATTATGAGGATAAGTAGGATAGATAAGAGTTGACCCTTGACTTTAAGAGAAGTTAAGATTGTAGTGATTTAGGAATTATCCTATTGGGAATCTGTTCCACAATGCAACAGTCCTGGGAAAGAAGTTCTTTCAATGGAACTTCCTCCTTACCAATGGAATATGAAGAGAATGAAGATGAGGTATTTGCATCAATTGCAGTGGACCAACATCTTTTTTTTTTATTTTTCATTTTTTTTTTTTTCCTCATTTAACCCTAAGCAAGGTGATAAAAACCACTAAGACACAAGAGGTTTACTGAGAGTGAAAGAAAATTAGATAAAGTTATTGAGTACAGAGGGACTGTGATAGAAGGAATGGGATTCAAGGACACAGAAGATGATGATGACGATTGATGTTGCATTTAAATTTTTGAAGATTGTAGTTGGTGGGAAAGCAATTGGTCAGAAACAATTAGCATAGCAATTATGGTTATAACTAGCAATTTCACTAGTGAAAATTATGAGACCTATTTGCCAATCTAGTACTGCGCTTAAATGAAGTCAAGATACCAAAGACGAAAGGATACTATTTTCTTGTAATTAAAACTTCAGTGAAAAACATTTTAACTTCATTGCAATACATTTTAACTTTTTTTTTTTTATTAAAAAGTCCATACTCATTGTTAGAATGTCTAATATTTGTTTTGTGCATTTGAAATTTGTAGTTGTCATATCCAGCTTGGCTGAACTCAAGAACATGACTACTTCCCACAGTTGAAGAGTAAGAATAGAGGAATATAAAGAATAGAGGTATTAATATTCGGGAATAATGCTGTGTGCTAAAGATTAATCTTGGTTTACACGTGTACTCTAACACTGAATTAACATTATTCTTGTTTCTTAAATGCAGCTAATAACATTGCACTTATTTCAATTGACCATGTTACTTAGAATGATTACTTCGTTACTTATATGAATGTGAAAACAGTCTTAGGAAGCATCACATGTATTATTAAACTAATTAGCCATAAATAATCAACAGTGCTTTTTTATAGTCATCTGTCATTTATATTTTATTTATAATAATACACTGACTAATGTTTGTATCATGTGGCAATAACTGTCAGTAAAATGATACGTTAAATTAACCAAGCAAGTAATTGTTTTAAGAATATCGGTGACCTTTTAAATGTTTTTCATCATTTCCTGCCTTGGTCTTGAAATACTTTCATCACAACTGTGTGCATCATTTTATTTCAGGTTCATTAATTTGGATAGGCTTTGTTTTGAAACATATTCTTTACATTGACAAATTTTATGTATTCTTAAAAATTAGTTAAGTGCTGGATGTTCCCAGACAAGAATCCTACTCTAATTTTGGTGATTATGTGTGATATATGCATCATTAATAATAGGTTTTCTTTGATTTTTTTTTTTTTTCAATTTGACTCTGAGAAAAGGGCAAATATAGGAAACTCCTAACATGGCTTCATATTTTACAACACTCCTTGTAAGAAAATTACAAATATAATATATACATACACACACAAAGTTGCATTGAAGATTACTAACAAGGCACTGCGTTTATGCTATTTATTAAATTTTTCTTGCATTCGTACAAGTCATTTCTTTTCTGAACATAGTGTGTAAAAACTGTCCAAATGAACTGTAGATCTGAGCACTTTTGACTAATCTATTAGCTTTTATCAAGGATATTTCTTCTTTAACTGAATATGGAAATTATATATACATATATACACATATAAAATATATGTAATTTTCATACATACATACATATATATATATATATATATATATATATATTAAAGACATTTTTATGTTTAACGTTCTTTTTTATAGATACAAGTATTTAAGTAAATGCTCTGTTTATAATAAACAGTATTAAATAACATTTACCGGTCTGAATGTCCGAGAAATTTTCATAGAAAATATTCGTCCTTTGACAGGATTCGAACCTGCATCCTATACGGAACCGTCATTTACGCTGACGTGCCTTACCAATCGGCCACAATTGGCACGTCAGCCAATGTCTTTAATAAAATAAATTGTCGGACTTTGTCCATTTCTTAATATATATATATATATATATATATATATATATATATATATATATATATATATATATGTGTGTGTTTTTTTTTTTGTGTTCCTGTTCAAAAAGACTGTGGTCAACTGTTATCTAATTTCAACAACCTCATTCAGTAACACTATCTTGAGTAACTCTTAACCTTTGTATTTGGAGAATAACAGTAAAAAAAAATATATATTTTTTATTTTACTGTTGAACTTTGCTAGCAACATAAAAAAAGAAGTTATTTACTTTTTATTTTTATTTATTTTGCAGATGAACTTTGCTAGCAACATAAATACTAAATGTCACGGTCTAAAAAGACCTGCTGCAGTTTCCTTGGCAAGAGGAGAGTTGGAGGACATAAAACCTTGCAAAAGACAACTGGATGCACAAAAGTCAATTCAAATGGAACATAGTCGCTCACAAGTGACCACAAATCATCATGGCTACCCACAAGTGACGTCAACTCAACAGAATCACTTACAATTACCAACCAGTCGGCAGAACCCCCTCCAAATGTCCACAAGTCATCAGTCGAGCACAATGGCCCAAAGTCAACAGAGTCATTCGCAGATAACCATTGTGTCTCAAAATCATCACCATGCGACCACTGGTCAGCTGAATCATCAAGTATCTGTTAGTCAGCATAATTATTCGAAAGCAAACAGCACAGGTCATCCAAATCCATTTCAAGTTCCCACAAGTCAGCCGAGTCATCCAATAAGCACAGGTCCAAAGAATCACCTGAATGTAACCCTGGGTCACTCAAAACCGCTTCAAGTGACCACAAATCAACCAATGATTACAGAGCAACAAAACCAGCCACAAATCAATGCTGGCCATCAGAAACGCCAACAGTTAAGTCCAGCTCAACTGAGATTCCTAGAGACGGGTCCAGCACGGACGAATCGAATTGAAGGAGCTACTAATCAGCAACAAAGTGAAACTCTACAAGAGCCTAAGTAAGTGACTAATGTGGGTGGGTGTTGTTTTTTTTTTTTTTTGCATATGAGTGTTTGTGGTTTTTTGCATATGAGTGTGTTTTTTGGGTTTTTTTTGCAAGTGAGTGACTAATGAGTTTTTTTGCAAGTAATGAAGATGTTTTTCAATGTTTTAAGATCAGTTAAAATGCATTTATTTGAAAGTGAGCCCTGCATAGTGTTATGATTAACAAGCTCATCTTGCAGACTGATTTTTTGGGTGGAATGAGTTCAGTACTTATTGGATCCCATTAAAGTAGCCTTGTGCCAAACTTAGATGAGTCTAAAGGGAGTGGCACAAAACGGTAGTCAGTAAGTCTGTGTTTCAGATCATTCTTACTGTATTAAGTTTGATCCTCACTGGGTGCCTCGCATACATGGTTTTATACCAAAATAAGCTGGACACCTCATCATTGATCAATGGTTAGTTTGCTAGTCTTGCATACCATTATGTGTTGTCAGTTTGATCCTCACTGGGTGCTCCACAATTTCTGCATGGTGGGGTGGTGCGTACCTTTGAACATATTGCTTTTGGATAAAGAGGACTACTCTAGAGTGGGAGTCAATATAATAATCTTCAATTTCAGGCATTTTCTGGTGTTTGATTGGAACATTTCTCTTGTAAGTAAATGGTCTTCCGTCTAATCTCAGGGGCATTCATGTGACACAGGCAAATCCATATTTTAGCCAGAGGATTGTTCACCAATCCTTTCCTTGTCTCATATACAGTTATTCACAAGATCCTTTCTGTTATCTCCCCCACCAACTTCCCATTATTTGCTCCCCATCTATTATTTGTAACCCTAA